GCTTAGAAATGAAATAATAGAAGGTAAATATTTTGCATAGTTTAGTGCGGGAGATTCTTTCTGCTCAGAAAAATAAAAACACTTAAACAAGGATGTAAACTTGAAGTCCATTGTCAAGAAAGGTCACTTAAAACAACTCTAATTTTAAACAAATATACTGTCATTTTCCATTATTTTCTTTTCCCCCATTTGAGAGGAATGTTCCCACAATACACCTGGTACAGATCTCCCACAGATAAAAGAGAAGGAGGAAGTGTTCTCAATAAGGAAAAAATAATAAATAAAAATACACAAGCAAAACAGCAGAATTACCTGCAATCACTTTTCAGTTATGTGAGATATACTGAATTTCAAGTAATCTCCCTAGAATATTTTTAACCTTCCTGTTGGGCAGCAGCAGAGTCCTCACTAATGAACAGCAAAGCTGCAGGAAGAAATCTGATTTAGGAGACAGAGCAGCAAAGCATATTTGGAAACTGTAGAAAGCTTGTGCAGCAAGATATATGCAGGCCTAAAACCAGTTACCCTGAGTAGCATATGCTAAAACAATGGTCAAAAAACTTACAGCCACAATGATTATCTAATTATTATCTTGGGAAAATAACTTACAGTCTTTTGAAACAAATGCTGTAAAGTAAAACTCGCCTAAGGCTTTTTATGAGTCTACGTGTAATTCCTCAATTGTCGGAGAAACCACCCCATCTGTCCCTTTTGACTTCAGATCCATTTGTGCATGAGTGTTACATTAATGCAGGTGGACAACTGAGACTTTAAACACAAGAGTAAGAATATCCAGTTAGGACTCCTACAACGTTCCCAAAGCCAGCTTTATCACAGAGACAAAATACAAATATAGAACTCAACTGAACAAAGAGCAGTCTCTGTGGGACTTTCAGTTCTGAATTTGCTGGTTCTTAGAAATTAAAAATTTAAACCAGTTCTCTCTTGCCACCAGCAGCTGGTCAGATCCTCTGTGCCTAAAAGCCAGTCTAACACCTGCAGAAAACCTTACTTTTCAATCCTGACCTATTTCACTTCCTCAGCAGCACAAAACTTTTGTGAAAGTCAGTAACCCTTTACTCATAGTTGTTGAGCCTGCCACAAAAGATTTAAATTTTACCCTAAAGCACATGTATTCCCAGAAAAGCCCATAGGGAGAGTATCCATACACGGATCTTCAGCTTTGCAAGACCTGTTCCTAGCTCTGAAAAATCTCCACGCACACTCTTTCCTTCAGGAGTTCCTCTTGCATTTAGGCAAACATTACAAAACCACACCTTTTTATATACATCTCCATGCCACTGCCATTACCTTTACTGGCCTGTGCATCAAACTGAATTTATACCTACTTGATCAAGCAGCACTGATGATTCTCCTGATCCTCTACAGACTGGACATGAGGACAGGACACAGAGTGTGTCTTCACGGACTCGAGTACATTGAGGCTCATGCTACAACTAACCAGAACTCACCTGAACAGTCTTAAAGCCCTGCCTTCCAGACTAAAGTCCACTACAAGATTGCAACATGGAGAGGCCAAACTCCACACATTCTTTTCCCTCTTATGAGCAAAGGCAAGAAGCACAAACCACTTTTCCTGAGCACTAAGAATGAAGAGACAACAGCTACATGTCCTCACATTCATTAGGAAGACAGCTCTCATCTATGGACTGCACTATCTTTCCCAGAACCCTGCTCTTCGTCAGCCTAAAATCCTCCAGTCTAACCAGAGCAGCTGGAGTGCTCTGTGGATTTGTTGTTTGGCTGATGGCTTTTGATTTTTTTCCCTAATGCAGTTATCACAAAAGGCAAGGTCAGTGAGCAACCCAACACAGCAAATAAGTGTGATTCAATACCTTGCCCCTGACACAGGCCAATACATTAAGGTGGTTTAGCAGATGGAGCGAGAAGCCTCAGTGGAAAATTATGGAACACACTGCCCTTTCTTTAAATCTTTAACTGTTAAGAGATTGGGCTATGTCTGAAAAAATATACCTTCTAAAGCAAGTTCTTTAGCTCAAGCAAGTCTGAACATTTCCACTCATAAATGCTTGATCTTTCCTGAATCCCGCTCAGCTCTTAGCCTGAGTGCTATTATGTGGTAGTGAATTTCCACAGATTAGACATCATGTGAAAATACTTTAAAATCATTATTCAGTTTGATGCCTATCAGTTTCACTGAATTGCATTCACCTCAACTGAAGAATACATTCCAGCTCCTTCACCTCTGCACAAAAGTCTTCCTCAGGCTTGGCATCCAGCATTGTTGAAAAGCAGAGGAAAACTGAGCCCACCCAAGTGAAGCTTATTCTGCATTCCAACCATTGCAATGCTATTCTCACACTCCTATGTGGCCTTCCACACCATTTCCTTCCTAAGCACAGCTCCCAGGAGGACACTCCCGAGAGGATGGCTCATGTCATTCCAAATATGAAACATCCTGCAAAATGCTGCATTCGGCCCTCTCTGTTTGTGCATATGAGCAATAAAACCATACATGAACTTCCTGACAATGAAGAGAACAGTTTCCAAGTCTGGAACAAAGGTGCAAAAAAGAGAAAATATTAATTTAAATCAAAAAGATTCAGTGAGACGAGGTGTTAGGTGAGAGAAAACAAGCGAACGGTTCATAGGAATGGAAAAACGGTGAGGTCTCAGAGTGTGCACTTGCCTTAAACAAGGCAGGGTCTGACTTGCACTCTACAGCAATTTCACCACACAGGACAGTGGATCACAAAGGTGTCTGCTTCATTTTGAAGTCATGGCCTGAAATATCTTTTTCATCTCATCTCCACCGAGCTTTACTAAAGCATTCAACACCACAGTATCCAAGCATCTCTACACTAACAGGTTCATCCTCAAATCCCCAGTAAGATGGGCATTAGTCATATTTTCCAACCAAAGAATGCAGAGTGAGAAAGAGTAACAATGTGAACACACTCACGCAACAAATATGTGGCAGAAATTAGGTGTTCTTCTGACCACAGCGTCATACTTCCCCTCCAACCAGCTGTAAAGACACTTCAATTTTAAAAAGTAGCACTCTTCCTACTACAGTTACAGACCCAGCCAATCTAGATCTAAGGAAAAGCCCTCAGGTAGGGGAACTGCCAAGGAAAGAGGATGGAAGATTTCATGCCCTAAGGCATTAGCCCTGTTTGCATAGATTACACACATAGTTCCTCTGCAGTCCTGCGTAAAATGAATTTCAGAGAGGATCACATTTACCCGGTAACTAGTGATTTGAAATACACACAGTTAGCATAAATGCCAATGGGCATTCATTCTCTCCAAAGCTCAGGCTGTCACACAGAAAGGAGATATCTTCCCAACCAAAGCCTTCAAGCAAGGAGATGAATATACCCAGCTTCAGGACCTTAAATTTACTCTCAAAGCATTAACCGAGTCTAACAGTCGAGAAAATCTGCTCTATTATGACAATTCCAGTTCTCGACAAGCCCAGTCCAAAGAGCAGACATGAGTCAAAAAGGTGTCAAGCCAGATTCTCATTTTTAGTGTAGGAATCCTACCCTCAATCTGTATCACACGCAGGCTCATTTGAGACCCTTACATGCTGTATTTCTCCTAGTAACATGAAAGGCAGAGAGTTATTAGCCACCACTACACTATTGTTGTCACTCTGTGCTGTAGAAGCAAGGCCCTCGATAACAAGTACACAACATCGTTATTTTGCCAGGATCTAACCTCCAGAACTATTTCTTGGGATGTGATGTGGTGACACACGGAAATCTCGGAGTCTAGTTTTCTGTGGATCCTCCATAAAACATAGCAGACATTTTAACAGGTTAGGCAGCTCACTTTCAGAAAAACCATCAGCCTTCAGGACTCACAAGCATCAAATCCACTTCAAACAACTACAAAAAAATACAGTTGCATTTTACTAAAACTTGTTTATTTTGCTACCGTTCAAACAGCCTTCTTCACTTTTTTAAAAGTACATTCTAGGCCATGCCAGGTGCCACAAACCCTTTCTCCAAGCCAGCTCTGGTACCATTCAGGCCAGCACACTGACCAAAATCATTCATTGCATCTAGCTTGATTAGTTCTGCTCTGGGACAAAAAGCAGGCAGACTTGCAGAGGAGTACACCTCTTTCAAGGCTATAGTCTATTTCCCCTACATGCTACACCACGATTGTATTTAGAGTGGATGGTGGAGATAAGAATTCAGGTTTGTTGGCTGCAAAGCAAGTGACTTAGCAGGAGCCAACAAACAACTTGAAACAGACTGGAAAAGCACGCAAGGTCATCTTTAGTTCAGAAAGCTGGTTTGAAGAGGTAACAGGTCTTGGCATGCAACTCATCCCCTCCTGACCCAATGTCTTGTTAATATTAAAGATGAAGATAGCCATGGGCTGCACTTTGGAACTCCGCTGGCCCTGCTAAAATGCATTCCCATGATTTCAAGAGCACTGGGTGCCTGGGAAGGAATGAAAACCCAAAAGCTCCTGGTACCACAGCTAAGACCTGGTAGCTTAAATGCAGATTAAATACCCAGAAGCTAAATCATACTGTATGCCAAGCACTGCTGAGATATATGTGCTTTCTGCAGTGATTCACTGGAAGGTGAAGAAAAGAGAAAGGAATTGTATTAAGTGTAACTTGAGAAGCAACTGAAAGGTATGATCCAAAGACCAATTGCTGCACATCAAACAACTGCACCTCTAAACTAGATCTCAACAGTGAGTTTGGAAAAGGACAGAAAGGCCAGTGGTATACCCGCATCACCCCTCAGGGGAGCAGCTACAGGGTGGAAAAAACAATGTGGTGGAAGAAACAACCTGACAGAACCGAGGGTCACTGGAATCACCTAACTCTGACACTGCAGCTGTTGCCAGAGCAGGTTCATCACGAAGGATTTCATTTGGATTACGGCCGGGCAGACCTCTTTTGGATTATACTGAGAGCATGGCTACTTCAGCACCAACAGAGCAGGATTTAGGCTGGTTCTCCAGGTGGCACGTAAAGAACAGTGGCTTACAACTTTAACTGAACTTCTCTTCCCAGGAACTCTTACTGAATTTCTCAGGGTCGCTCTCATTCCACTGACACTCTGGCCTCTCAATTCTGTCTGTGCAGGCCTACTATGACACACAGAACAACAGAGAGGGACAGTTTTTCAGGTATGCGGTTCACATATTCTCAAAAAATTTGAGTAGTGGGACCAAAGCACACAGTCTGACTCAGCATCAGCTCATTCCTGGCTTTCTTACCTGCTGTCTGATGCTTCAGCAAGGATTCACTGCTTCATCCTATGTAGTCCCTCTATCCCAGTTCCTTCTCTGAATCTGTAAAACAGAGATGCATACCTCTGAAAAGCTTTCACTGGCAAAGAACTATGTACATGTTATGGATGATTCTTTTCAGTGGACAACATCAACCTCTCTGATTTAGGTCACTCTCAGCCTTGCCAGACTGACACATCACTTGCAAACCCTGACACCTACCCGTGCAACCTCCTGTCCACCTAGAAATCTGTGTATTAGCACTCAGTCTTTTACTCTGCTCCAGCTCAGAGCTAGATGCAGTTCAGTATTTACCATAGACATGCTTTCCTTTAAAGTCTTTCCATGTTCCCAGAGGTTGCTCATTGGTCCTACAGCAGGAAGCATCCCTTGCACTATAGAGAATGCCCAGGCTGGTAGAGAATTTCCCACTAACGCCTGCTGAGCCTGACACCAGAGGAGTGCTGATTCTCCCCTTCCAGCCCTGCCTCTGCCAGTTATGCTCTGGTTCTTTTAACACACGTGCTGGCCCAGACTTGTTCCATTTTGCAGTTCCTACTCCAGCAGCGCTCCCAGCACGGATACTGCCTTCTCGCCCCCCACGCCCCCTACCTCTCCATCACCCAGACACGGCTACAGCCTGCACGGTCCAGGTCCCACTTCCCGGCCCGCGCTGCTCCCTGACACAGGTCCCTCCCCGGGAGGGAGAGCTCCCTCACGACCTGATAGCTGAGGAAGTGCCACTACCACCCTTCCCCAGGGGGACCGTCCCTTCCCCACGGGGACTGTCCCTTCCCCGGGTCCCAGTCTGTGGCCTCAGCGCTCTCCTGCCCCCGGCTGAGCCCTCCCTGCCCGCGGTGCGTCCCGCCCGGACCCGCTGTCCTCGGGGCACTCCACAATTCCTCGCCACACACGTGGGCAGGAAGGCCACCCCCCAGCCCCTACCGCCCGAAGCCCGCCCGGGAAGGCCGGAGCGGCCCGGGGGCGCAGGGGGCCCTGCCCGGGGCTCGGTCCCCAGCCGGTCGCGTTCGCCGCTCCCCACCCCCGGAGCCCCAGCCCGGCTCTGACCCAGTCGGGCTCGGCTCCGCCGGGGGTCCCAGTGACTTTGCGGCCTGTTCGGCCCCGGATCGGCCCCGCCTCGGGCCCGCCCCAAACTTTGCCCCCGCCCGGCCCCGGCCCCGCTCTCTCGCCTCAGGCCGCCATGTTGCTGCGGGGCACGCCGGGTAATCCGGCGGAATCCCCACGCCGCGGCGCGCCTGCGTCACTGGGCGGCACGCGCGGGGGGCGGGGCCGGGGCCTGGCCCGGGCGGTCCCGGCAGCGCGAGGGGCGAAGGGGCGGGAGCGGCGGAGAGCGCCGGGATTGGCTTCGGGATTCGGGGTCGGGATTCGGGATCGGGATTCGGGATCGGGATCGGGATCGGCATCGGGATTGGGATCGGGATTCGGGATCGGCCACTGCCGCTGCCCGCCTGCCCCGCGCACAGCGTCCAGGACCAGCTCCTGCCCCTTCCCACGTACCCCGGGTTCGGAGAGACACCTTGAGGGGGCGAGGGGACAGAACCTTCCAGTGCAGGGCAGGGCCCAGGATCAGCTCCTGCCCCTTCCCGTGTGCCCCTTTTCTGGGAAACACTCTGACAGCCGTGTGGGATATCCCAGCCTCTCACTAGAGAAGTACAACCCCAACCGTAGGGCCAGGGAAGGAGAGGGAGGGACAGCAGGAGAGTAGTAAATGGAAAAATGGACCCAAAAGCCCCCAAGGAGAATTCTCTGCTTCTTAGGGGAGAGGAGCTGAGGACAGTATGTACCAGTCAAAACCTAGTCAAACCCTGACATAATTTGTGAGCGTGCTTTCATGTTTATTTGCAAAATCTTCCACTATATTGTTCTAGGCTTGGGACTTCAAAAAGTCAATACATTTTAAATTTGAAACCAAATCAATCCATTTATTCGCTTCTGAGCTCAGCCGGGTACTTCTTCCATTGCTTCTCGTGCCTGGTGCATAGACTTACCCTCTGCTTCTATCCTTTCTTTCACTAACGTCTCATGAATAGATTATACACACAGTAAATAATGGAGCCTAGTCCAGAGGGAATTTGTCCAGTCAAGAAAAGTCCCGATAGTATTTGTACGATGTTCTTCAATGTACTACCACATTTGCAAAGGCTTCAGATTTGCATTCAAGTAGTACCGGTCTCTCAGCGCTGCAAACTCTGCCCAAACGGTCCCCTCTCTTACACAATAAAAGACAGGTGCTCAGCAGGACCCCACTTCCATGACCTTGGGAATATTGTGCAAAAACGTCTGCTGTGCACCCAGCAAGTGCTGTATGCACCACACCACGCATCAGCCATGGATATTTCAAGAAAGCCTTCGGTACTTGTGCCCCCATAAATTCTCCAAATCCTCCCTGTGCTGGAGTCAGATAACAAGCAGAAGGACAATGGCTCCAAGAATCCAGGCTGCCCATCTGCTCTGCACTTCCAGATTCTTGCTTCCACAGCACCAGCTGATGAAATTTTCATAGCTGATGAGGTTTCTCATTTCCACCGGGCCTTGCTGCCTTGGAGCCTTCACAGTTGTGGCCTGTTCAGGTTTCTGTGGGTGCGCACCGGTGGCAGCAATCATGAGAGTATTTTGCTTTCTTTCGGTGACTTGTCGGAGTAGGATCTTCAAGCTTTTTGCAAGCCTAGGTGAAATAAGCCCTGCAGAAAGGAGAGTTGGATTTTCAGATGGCCTTGTCATTCACTGCTTCCATTAAATTCAACTCTTCTCAAAACAGATCCCAAGGTCAGACTGCCAAAGGGAACTGGGCTCGAGCTGGCTGAGCACCAGTCACCTGCTCTGAGCACCGAAAAACACTCTTTCCTCAGATCCCAAAGGCTTTGATTCCCGGTCCTTCTCCCTCTCCACATACATCCACCCTGCCTTCCCCCATATCTGGTATGCTTGTGAGCTGGACTCACCACTGCCCTGAGCCCAGAGATGTGGCATGATGAGGAAGCATGACGTTAGGTTGCATTATATTCATTTATATAACACCATTAATACCAAAGTGCAGCTCCCTGCTAGAGCCAGTTGCTCTCTAAAGCCTCTGAAGTTCAATTAACAAGCACCAGGTAATCTAACACTTGACTCCCAATAATCCTTTTATTTTAAGGGGCCTCTGGCGGATGTAAAGCCCTCAGCAAACAGTCCTGGAAGTACATTTGAGATTCTCTCAAATAACAGCTGAATTTATAACCCTTAGTGGAGAGCAGAGAGGAATCTCTTCAAAATACTTTCCAGCCGGCAGCACTTTATATAGACCCTTGTAACTGAATAAAAGGAACCCCTGGAGGGGCAGGTGCCACCCTGTGGAGGGACAAATCCCTCCTAAGTGCCTACAGTCTTGGCTAGGGAAAAAGCAGATGCCAGAATTAATGTCTCCCCACCAGAAGAAGGCAGTGCAGGCTTGGTCCTCTCAAGTTTCCCACCAAATCAGGTCAAGCAGGGAAGATGGTGGGTGCTGGACCACCCCTTGGTGGCTGCCTTGGAGGCTGTCACCTGCCAGAGAGTTGCATCAAGTCCCATTTTCTCCAGCTTGGATGCTGCAGTACCGAAGGGATACACTTAGGAAACAATTGCCTCCTCCACTACTTCTCTAACTCCAGCTGCACAGAGGATTCCCCCCTAGACCTCAGCTGGGAAACACTCAGAGGCCGAGCCCACCAAAACCAAAAAACTTGAGACTTATTTTGAGCAGAATTTTCACTCTGGGATATGCCAGCACAAGAGGAACTCAGCACCCAAAATTAACAGCATTTCAGGAACAATAAGATCAGTGAAACACGGCCAGCATGGGACAGTCAAACAAGTCTGTGGATGCCGAATTGGACAGCCAAATACATCCTGCCAGTACGCCTGGAGCATACACCTACCAGAAAAATACACCCCACCAATAAAACAGTTGCTAACAACATACCCACGTGTATAATTCAGTCCATACCACTACACAAGAGTGAGGGTTGGGGCTTAATTTTAAGTTGAATTGAGATGCCATACTCGAAAAAAACCTGGAGTCTTTTCACAAGCAAACACTTTGCTGTCAGGATCCCCACCATCGGTGGCTGAAGAACAGAACTGTGCTGACCCATCCCAACCCAAAGTGCTGTTTGCCTTATGGGACTGCCTAAAGGCACCCATGATGGTTGGGATGTAATTGTGCTGGGCACTGCACAGAAAAAAAAAAACACGCACAATATCCTGCTCCTGAGACTTGGATCTCTGAACCTCTTGAATCTCTCTCAAAGCCTCCCTGGCAATACAGAATGGAGGCAATACAGCCTCTGCATGTTTTGTATATTTATAAATGCATATGTATAAAAATAGAATAAAATAAATATATATCAGTGACCCCTACTGGCCATTTCTAACTAGCCACAAAATTGTGCAGCAAACAGTGAGCTCTTGCCTCTTTCCCTGGTAAAGTATTTCCATGTGAGGCAGGAGCACAGGGCCTGGCAGTGGTGTATTTGCACACACTTTGTGCCAGCTGCATCACTCCTGGGAGCAGGCAGCTGAAATTGGGATTTTCTGACCTCAAGTATTTGGTTGTGGCATCCCACTCATTTCTCAGCTCACCACCAGCTCCATGACATGATCCCAGCTCTTGCACTGAGCCCTGCACAGGTGCTTCCACCTTTCACTCTACATGGCTCTGTGACTTTACACAGTGTATTCTTCTGGAAAAATTCAGTTCCCAGCTGGGACCCACATCACAGGTACCACTGCTCCTTCAGGTGAGCTCCCTACAGAAGGGGCTGCCCCAGTACGGCAGTTTCTCCTCCCAACAGCCTCGCCTGAGTCCCATCAACACTCACTGTAAAGCCTTCACCCCAGTGGGTGTTAAATCCAATATGAATGCTGCTGTGCAACAGAAACTGAAGGGCCCACTCATGCCAGGGATTTACCCTGGTGAAGGAGTGGAGAGAACAGGCGGGATGGCTGCTCTAATGCAAGGCAAAACCCTGTGGGAGGCAAAGGCTAGAGTCACCATGTCAGCCTCAGACCAAGACTCAAGGGACTCTGCCTCTCTTCCCCTTCGTCAAAACTTGTTTAGCTTGTCATGCTAATACAGTGTTTGAAATGAACTGAGTTCAAAGTATGTGGAGAGGAAGGGGGAGGATGTCTGACTGGAGAACATGGGGAGGTGGCGGCGGGGTTAGTTGTGACGCTGGCTTTCCTCCACATGTGCAGGCAGATGGGGCTTCATCCAGGTTTGGACAGAGCATTCACCTATGTGCAAGGGGAGGACACCACACACTGGGGTGTTGGGTTTGGCACTTCACTACGGTACACAAATGGGGAGGGAGGTAGCTGACCCCCCAAGCCCTCTGAGGGCAGAGCAGGGACTCACGGACTCTTTCAGGTAGAGGCACACACACGGCTGTGTGTTGTCTCCCGAGGAGCCCTTCTGCATACCCAGTGGACGCCTCCAACTCACACAGATGGGTTTTTTCGGTGAAATCTGCAACACTGCTCTCCCCAAGCAGCTCTTGTTGTTTATAGGGACGGGTCCAGGCAGGCCAGGGAGGAATTACCTTTCTCTAGGACACGCTTGGTGCTTGGCTGAGCACACTGCTTCTCTGCTTCACGGGAGCTGCTGAGGGCCAAGGAGACAGTCAGTCTGCAATTAGCCTCCCCCCCAACACTCGTCCACATCCCCTGGGGCTGCTAATTATGGACTTCTCTGTAGCCAGAGTTCAAGTCTTTCTAAGCACAGGCCATAGTTTTGTAAAATGACCTTGAAATTCTCTACAACAGGCTTGCCTGCCAAGTTTCACTGCAAACACCAAGATATGCCAACTTCTGTAAATACCCAGGAGCAAGCTCAGAGGCAAGCACTGAGGAAGCTCAAAAGATTTGCTTCAAGAGTCCCCCATTAAATTCTTGCATGCTCCCGGTAAGATTAGGAGGTTTCATTGCTAGAGCTGCCAGCTGGAAAGGCAAAGGGAGACAGTATAGCTGAAGATGGGCTTCAAGGCACCCACAGATCTGTGCCAGCAAGGGAATGCCTGGCAGACATCTCCTTTCCATTCCAGTGCTTCCAGGCCTCCTCCCAGCAGCAGGAGGCAGGTGGGGAGAATAGGTACACCCCCTGAAGTCGGTGCCCTTGGGAGAGCCCTGACATTAGCTGTCATACATGCTCGCGGAGGGAAGCCAGAA